CTCAGCAGGCGGGTCAGCGGCGAGGAGCTCAGCAGGCAGGTCAGTGGTGAGGAGCTCAGCAGGCGGGTCAGCGGCAAGGAGCTCAGCAGATGGGTCAGCGGCGAGGAGCTCAGCAGGGTCTTCTGCGACCGGACCATCTGGGGCGAGATCTTCTGTGATCGGATCTTCAATGACAGGATCTTGAACAAACGTGGACGGTGGATCAGTGGGGACGTGGTCTTCTGCGGCTGGATCATCTGGGGCGAGATCTTTTGATGGTGCTGCTGGCATAGGACCCTCTGGAGGTGCAGCTGGCATAGAGGCATTGGCAGACCTGGGACTCTCAATAGACGTAGAGGCGTCTGCAGACCTGGGACCCTCAGTGATTAAGAGGCTTCGGCAGACCTGGAACCCTCAGTAGATGTAGAGGCGTCGGCAGACTTGGGACCCTCTTCACTTCCGGCAAGCAGATGGACAGCAGCTCCCTCCAGCTTCTCTGCAGTCTTTTATCATCAAACTGACCCGTTTTTCGAACCGGACTAAAGTTGGTCCCCCTTCTAACCGAATTCAGTGTTCAGTGACTCAGAGAGCTGGATGGGACCATCCAAAAATATATTTTGGTCCAGGACCAGCCGCTCCCACCCCACCGGTCAGTCTGAGCGCACCCTGCCGGCCAGGTGACCCCTCGAGCTGGGGAGTTGTCACACGAAGGTCCAGTGTTTTTTCTCGCTCTTTCTAGACCCCCAACGAACTTCTCATCTGGATCTTTGTGTTCTACCTGGTTCCGACAAGAATCACCGGGTGGTATTTCTCTGGTTTTCTGCTGGACTGGCCCTCGTGGTGTCTTCATTGGGTGGGGAAAGTGTACCTGTGTCCCCCGAACTGGATTAGAACCGAACCGGTACAGGTGTATTCGCTAACATGTGATCACTGTGTGACAGCGACTCTCAGCGATATTAAACTTCCACCTTCTAAGCCTAGATTAATTCAAAAAAGGGATTTGAAATGTTTTTGCGAACAGTATTTCCTCTGGGATCTGTCTCACTTTGACTGGCATCATATTCTATTAACTGATGATGTGAACTTCGCTTGGAACTATTTTCATAATAGCTTCATTTATTTTGTGAACAAACTTGCTCCTTTTCGTTAGTTCAGAATAAAGGGACGAGACAGACCCTGATTTACTCCAGAGCTAGCTGACCTCCTGCACAGGAGAGATCATCTTTGGGCCGCAGCGAGAAAATCTGGCTCAGACACTGATTGGTTGAGTTTTCGACAGATGAGGAATAAATGCACAACTGCCATCAAAGCAGCAAAATGCAACTATTTCTTATCTCAGATCTCCAAAAATCTATATGACCCTAACAGATTCTGGAAAACCATCAAATCTCTCTCAGGCACCCCCCAATCATCTGACCTCCCATCACAACTTCTCGTTAACTCTGTTCCTGTGTCAAATAAGCACGAGATCCTGAACTGTTTCAACAAACATTTTGTTGCTTCTAGTTCTTTATTTGACACAGTTACTAATGGAAAATCAGCCACTTCACTTAATAACCAAACTTCTACAAATCAAATCCCTCCTATAAGTCAATCCTCAGTTAATCACAGCTTCTCGTTTTCTCCATTCTCAGTCAGTGAGGTTAATAAACTGTTAAAAGATATTGATCCTAAAAATCTGCAGGTCCAGATGAACTTCCACCTTATATCTTAAGGCTGGCTGCTCATATCATCACAGTCCCTGTGACCCACATTTTTAATCTTTCCATAAGCCAAAGCTCCATTCAAGACACTTGGAAAACAGCCTTTGTTCTTCCTTTGCTGAAGGGAGGAGACCCCACCTCACTGAACAACTATCGGCCAATCTCTAAACTCTGCATTTTAGCCAAGGTTCTAGAAAAACCGAAAAACTTTCAAATCCAAAATTACCTGGACTCATTTAACATCTTACCTGACCTTCAATCTGGTTTCAGGAAACAACACAGCACAATGACTGCTTCACTGAAGGTTCTTAATGACATTGTTGAAGCACTAAATGCTAAGGATTATTGTGCTGCACTTTTCTTAGATCTGTCTAAAGCTTGTGACACTGTGGATCATAACATCTTGTGTCATAAGCTCTCAGAAATTGGTTTCTCAGAACACACCATTGGTTGGTTCTCTAACTATCGCTCATACCGGTGGCAATGTGTTCAACATAATGGCACTTCCTCCAGTTATTTCACAGTCAACAATGGTGTACCACAAGGTTCAGTCTTAGGACCCACCCTCTTTACAATCTACATACGTAATGTAGGTAAAAACATCCCTGATGCATCCTTACATTTCTATGCTGATGACACAGTTGTTTATTGTCGAGCTAAAACAGTTAAGGATTTCCAGCTTTTGAAATCTGCATTCGACAACATCCAGACAGATTTGTTCCACCTCAAACTTGTCCTAAATGCTGACAAAACCAAAGGGATGATTTTTGCAAACAGGAAGTCGGTCCCAGCAGTTCTTCCTCTGATTTCATCCTCAAATGGTGTACCGATTGAGTTTGTTGATTCCTATAAATATTTGGGTATCTTGGTCGACTTGCATCTCTTTTAAGCTTCATGTGGAAAACTTGGTAAAGAAACTGAAAGTTAAACTGGGTTTCTTTTTCAGAAACAGATCCTGTCTAACTCTGAATGCTAGGAAACACCTTGTATCTGTGACCTTCCGTCCCTCCATTGATTACGGTGACATTATTTACATGAACGCTCCTACAAGAACCCTGCAGATGTTGGATGCTGTCTATCATGGTGCACTAAGATTCATAACTGGCTGTGATTATCGTACCCACCACTGCACCCTGTATTCACTTGTTAACTGGACATCATTAACTTCACACAGACTCTCTCACTAGTACATTTTCATCTTTAAATCACTTCTTGGTCTGCTGCCTTCATACATCTCCTCCTACATGTCTCTGCATGAGTGCAGTTACAGCATGCACTCTCAGGACATTATTACCTGCAGTGTTCCCCCAGTGTGGACTGAACTAGGCAAAAGGGCCTTCTCTTACTCCGTTCCTGTTTATTGGAGTATCTTACAAAAAGATTTGAAGCTCTCGATCTTGACCTCTCTAAGTGGCTTTAAAAATCTGTTGGATTCCTGGCAAGGACCAATGCAGACATGTTTCTGTTTTTAGTTTTCTACATTCACCTTAGAATCTAGCTATTTTTGTTACTTTTCTTTTTTTAGCTATCCTATTCGTAAAA